CAGTAGAACAGAAAAGATAGACTGGGACTTCAAGGTCTGTGAACGCCGACAGATCTACCTTGAGTCTCCGGACAGTGGACCAATAGCAAAAATCTCGATCAACACGAGCCGGTATCNAAAAGATAGACGGGGACTTCAAGGTCTGTGAACGCCGACAGATCTACCTTGAGTCTCCGGACAGTGGACCAATAGCAAAAATCTCGATCAACCCGAGCCGATATCAAAATCTGCACAGAAAGTATAGAGTGCAGTATCAGTACAACCGACCCCATATACTGGTAAGTGTCGAGCCTAACCTCGACGAAGTAGTGACGAGGCTAAGGCAAGGCACCTACAAATCAACCTGTACAATTTAACAGTGTATATACAAATACATAAATGAAGAACTAAACAGAAAATATCGGAAGGAGAACATACTGAGGGGAATGCAAGATAAAGAACTACTACAGAATGATCATCAGAGCAGTCAATATACCAGGAATCAACATGAATAGTGAATACAGTAAGGAAAAATACACGGCATCACCCTTCGTGCTTTTTCTCTCAATCTCACCATAAAATAAATAGAAACGGCACGGCATCACCCTTCGTGCATTAACTCTCATATCATGGCACAACATCACCCTTCGTGCATTATCACTCACAATATGGCACGGCATCACCCTTCGTGCATTAACACTCACAATATGGTACGACATCACCGTTCGTGCATTAACACTCACAATATGGCACGACATCACCCTTCGTGCATTAACACTCACAATATGGCACGACATCACCCTTCGTGTATTAATACTCTCCCTTACCATAATGCAATGCATAAATAACTACAGGGAGATCGAATAACAAGTACAAACCTTACTTCAACATTTGGTTCCATAACATCAATCTCAACTTTGAAATAAAAACTCAATTATCACCAGAAAATCCGTAAACATGATAAGAACGATAAATTGAACAACACTAGTAAAACACATAGCAATTAGGCATAGGAATGAGATAATATAAGAAAAATTGAGAAACATGGAAAACAGGTAAATTGGCGGCGCGTAAGTACTCGTCACCTCACATATACGCCGCTCACATGAATTTCACTTAGCAAGTAATCTAAGGTTCCTAATTCCCTCAAGTCAGGGTTAGACACAACACTTACCTTGCTCCGAAGGCCACTTAATTCTCAATCACATCTTTTCCTTTGGAATTCACCTCCAAATCACTCGTATCTATTCAAAATGATTCAATAATATCAAACATTGCTAAAGGAATCGAGTTTAATGAATAATTACATATTTCCCAAATTTTTCCTCCAAAAAGTCGAAAATTGACCCCGGGCCCGCTTGGTCAAAACCCGAGGTTCGGACCAAAATCCATTTACCCATTCACCCCCGAGCCCGAATATGTAATTAGTTTTGGAATCCGACCTCAAATTGGGGTCTAAATCCTCAAATTTCCGAAATTTCTAAGTTCTACCCAAAAATCCTAATTTCACCATAAAAATTCTAGATTCTAGGTTGAAATCTTGTTATAAGATGTAAAAGATTAAAAAAAAAGAGTTAGGAATCACTTACCTATGATTTGGGAAAGATTTGGTCTTTGGAAAATCGCCTCTTAAGGTTTAGGGTTCGAAAAATTGAAGAATGAAATGAAAAATCCCGTCTAAGTCCAAAGTTATCAGCTGCGGACGTCGCATTTGCGAAGCTCGCAAATGCGAAGCGCTCATCGCAAATGCAAGATCCTTCACATTTCCACTGCCTTCGCGTTTGCGAAGAATATATATCGCAATTGTGATAATTGGCCCATCGCATTTGCGGGCAGAAATTCGCATTTGCGAACATACCCTTCCCCAGACTCCCATCGCAATTGCGAGAACATGCTGGCCCAGGCCTTCTTCGCAATTGCGATAGATACCTCGCAATTGCCAGGCCTGCTTATTTCGCATTTGCGAAGCTTGATCTCGCAATCAGAGGCCTGCAACAGGTTCAGTTATACCAGCAAAATTTTCTAAGTTCAAACCATCCCGTGGCCTATCCGAAACTCACCCGAGCCCTCGGGGCTCCAAACCAAACATGCACACAAGTCTAAAAACATCATACGAACTTGCTCGCGCGATCAAATCGCCAAAATAACACTTAGAACTACGAATTTAGCACCAAATCAAATGAAATTCTCAAGAACACTTTTAAAATTCATATCTTCTCAACTGGACGTCTGAATCACGTCAAATCAACTCCGTTTCTTACCAAATTTCACAGACAAGTCTTAAATGTCATAATGAACCTGTATCGGGCTCCGGAACTAGAATACGGACCCGATACTAACAATGCTAAATATCAATCAATTCTTAAAAATAAATAATTTCCAAACTTTTAATTTTCATCAAAAAATCATAACTCAAGCTAGGATGCTAAGTCGATACGATTAGCATCCTAACCAATCAGTAAGTTAAGAAAATTAAAAAATAACAAGTATTGAACCTAAATATATATACCATAACATAATAAACTTCATAGCTTGTATTTTCAACGCAAATAGTTTAAATGTTAAACAAGTTACCAAACTAATACAAATCTTAGAAGTGTAACCGAATAGTATAAACGCTAACAAAAATAATGTCTTATCTGATTTTTATTCATTAACTTCAACGTACGAAAAAGTTGAGAAAGCTACTGTCGTTACCATAAAGTTATTATGCATCTTAAATTATACTACAAATTGAATAATCTCTTATGAAATTAACCCATTAAATAGGAGAGAGAATAAGACAATCAAAGCGGATCCTTCAGTATTAGTAGTACTCATATCATATACCAACGGAGAACTTATGCGAATTTTATGGAAATTGAAAATCGACATACAGCCAAGCACTGCACTGAAGGAGGCGATTATCAATTTTGAAAGAAAAGAAGTGTTGAAGCAAATAGAAGCTGGTTACGTCAACTGAAGCATGTTGTCTTAATGGTTTTTCACGTTCCTCGACTAAAACCTCAATGATATGGACATGTGAAGAGTTCTATTATGATATGCATAAACTTATGTGTTTTCCAACACCAATTAGAAACTATATAAATTTATTTCCTTGAACAAGTAAGTTTGCACCCTTCAAATACCTTATGTAATAGTACAAAGATGGCTTATAGAAAGATTTGAGAACAATATCATACATGGAGCAATTACAAAGGTCAATATACTATCCCTAATATATGTTTATCTTAAGGATTTACTGTTCTCTCCCAAAAACTGAAGAATATCTTTTTAAAATTGTTTGATAATAAGTTTTTGTACGTTTATATTTTGCAATGACTCTAAATAAAGCACAAGGTCAAACAATCTCAATGTTAGATTTTATCCAGCATAACATGTTTTTTATATAACAAACTTTACGTCGTACATTCAAAAGGGATATCAATATCGACAATAAGAGTCCTCATCATGACAGAGTAACAAAAACGAATGACAGGAACATACTCCAATAATATTGTTATTATGTGAGAATATGCTTCATTACAAGTGTGCACCTCATGAAAATGAATTGTAAGTAAAAATATCACATATATCCGGTTAAAGTGTTATTTGTACAAGTTTTAATAATATCCGATCATCGTGACCTAGACAAACAAGTCAGCACACTACGATCCACATCAATCATTCAGATAAACTTGTGCTTCAGTCTTTTATATATAATTATTTACTCAAATATTTCTTTTAATATAAAATCATGTATTATATAATTCGACCTATACGTGCAACGCATATGCAGAGAATCTAGTTATATTAAAAACACGAAGGCCCTTAATAAAATATCGTTCGTCTTTTTTACCCCTTTAAAATATAGTTCACACTGGACAAAATAATCATTTGATTATTTTTATAATATTTAATAATTAATCATTTAATTAATTTCCTCCTATTTAGGAGTAGTCATTGATGTCCCCTTGCATACAAGGAAATATAATATTTTAATTAATTAAAATTTTCAAATATTTTAGGAAAGTTAAAGTGATACAAATGTGATTGAATTGATTCTAACGAAATAAAAAGATAGGAAGAAACTTAGAAATATATGCTTTTGTTAAGTATCCTAACTATTTAAAAGGTCATACGTCCTAGGAAATTTATAGTAGAAAAGAAGGTCTCTTGCTCTACGAGTAGGAACAGGAGTTTCAAGTCCATAACTACATACAAAGACTCTAAAACTAATTCATTTTTTTTTCTTCGTATGTAGTATATTTCATGTATCTACTATGAATTTATCTAATTGTGTATAGCAATTATTAGATTAATTGATTCGATAAACACATGAAGCCCCTATGTATAATATTGGTCAATATTTTACTCTTTAAAAATAAATTTTATATTGAAAAAATTATCATTTAATTATTTTTATTGTTCAGTATATTAAAGTTATTTTTTATACTTTTCTATTCATCGGGTTTTCGTATAATATTTAAAAACTAATATCAATAATTAAAATAAATAACTAAGAAATTTTTTAAGCATATGAAAGAAAGAAAGACGGAGAGACAGATGGGTGGCGTAATAGGCCAAGAGACTAAAAAGAAGCATGATGACTCGTGAACTTGAAATAATAAAATTATAAAACTGGAGTAAATTTTAAGTTAATATAACAACTGAGATGATTAAGGACTTCTATGAGCAGAGTTTTTCTTTTGTTGAGTTGGCTAAATATGATCATCAATAATCATTTTCAGGAAGCTATACCTTTTCCTTTAACTTTTATTTTTTAACTCAAATTTAATTTTAATATAATATTTCTGTAATTTTTGAATTGACATGATTAAGGATTTCTATGAGCAGAGTTTTTCTTTTGTTGAGCTAAATATGATTTAATCATTTTCGGGAAGTTATACCTTTTTCTTTAACTTTTATTTATTTTTAACTAAAATATAATTTTAATATAATATTTATGTAATTTTTGTATTTTTAATAATTATTAAGATAGAATATAAGCGCGTTTCTAGTCCACTAAAATATCTTTACCTATTCGATTTCAGACAGGACAGGACAGGAACAGAACAGGAGAGGGGTCGCACGACGGAAAAGTCTGTTTGTAGTTTTAACTGTTAAACGACAGCAATCAAACTACCAAGAAGCTTATCACTCTCTTTCTCATTTCTAACCAGAAGAGAAGGAGAAAGCAGAAAAAGTCCCATTTTTTCTTTATCCAACATGTTTCTCTCTGTTATCTGAACATTTGTGTGAGAGTGGATAGAGTCATGGGCTGTTGTGAATCCAAGTTTTTTCCCAGTAATGAAACACACCCAGAAAACGACAAGCCTCAATATCACGGCCCTATCCAATTCCAAACCGAGCCATTCATTAATCGCCCACCCACCGTCGCTGCTGCCGCGCCTGACTCCACAACCATCCCCTCCTTTTCCGAGTTCTCATTAACTGACCTCAAAACCGCCACCAATAATTTCAGCTCTGAATTAATTGTGTCCGAAAGTGGGGAGAAGGCCCCCAATGTAGTGTACAAAGGCCGACTCCAGAACTGCCACTGCATCGCTGTCAAGAAGTTCTCTAGACTCGCCTGGCCTGACCCTAAGCTGTTTGCCGTAATTCTGCTTAACTAACTTAATTTTAAAATTTCAATAATAATCTGCTTCTCAATCAGCTTGAATGTATTTTTTTTTTTGAAGGAGGAAGCATGGGGAGTTGGGAGGTTGAGGCATAAAAGGCTGGCTAATTTAATTGGGTATTGCTGCGATGGTGATGAGAGGTTGCTTGTGGCTGAATACATGCCTAATGATACTCTTGCTAAGCATTTATTTCATTGTACGTTTTCTTGATCAAACTCTGTAGAAGCTTAGATTCTTTAAGTAAAATGAATTCTAACTGAATCTACTATTCCTAATTAATCAATGTCAGATAGGCTGTTGATGGGCAATGTTGGAGACTACAACTCTTATTAGATCTATTTTAGTTACTCCCTCCATTTCAATTTATATGGCATGGAGTTTAAGAAAGAAATGTGGAATTTAGAAACATGTGGTTTTAAATACTATGACATAACATTTGTGTGGCTATACAAGCTTGTCATGGATAAAACGGGAAGTTCAAGTTTACTAGTTTCCAAATTTGAAAATGTGTCATTCTCTCCGAAATGAACTAATAAGGAAATAAAGTCATTCTTTTGGAACGAAGGAGTATTTGATTATCGCCTCCTCACATGTCTCCTGTAATTCCCTGCTCCCCAAATTGTGTTCAGGGGAAAGTCAGATGATCGAGTGGGCTATGCGCCTTCGGGTGGCACTTTCCATAGCTGAAGCCTTGGACTATTGTACAAATGAAGGCCGTCCATTATACCATGACCTAAATGCTTATAGAGTTCTCTTTGAAGAGGTATTATCAGGAACTATTTTCCCCTTAATTGGAGAAACTTTTGCGCTAGTTCCTTCGTTTAGTTAAAATGTTGTATTTGTACCTTCAACTTCTGCTGACAGGATGAGATTTCATACTTAACTGGACTTTGTAGGGTGGTGATCCACGACTTTCATGTTTTGGCCTGATGAAAAATAGTTGCGATGGGAAAAGTTATAGCACAAATCTTGCCTATACTCCTCCCGAATATTTAAGAAATGGTAAACATTTCTCAGCTCAGCAAAGTTATCATTTTTCTTATCCTCTTACTTTATGACTGCAGTCACCTTATTGGCTATTGCACCTCAAATTCATATCATACATTGTTTTGAACCTTTTTGAACGAACCAGGATTCTACTTATGCATCATACTGCTATTTTCTTATGCTCCCATTCCGTCTCGCGGATGGTGAAACTGAATATGAAATATATTCTTCTGAACTAGAAATGTCTAATGTACTCTATGCTGGGAGTACTAATAGGTCATTAAGTGGATTCAAAATCAATGTACTTTCAGTTTTACTTGTATTTTATTGGAGGTACCGTAGGATTTCTTTGAAGATTGTTCTCTTATTATTTTGTTTCAATTGTGTTTCCAATGGGCTTGTCATTAAACTACGTGAGAGACATGTGAAATCTGGAAATTTTTCAACTGGTCCCAGGCAAAAGGAGTTATATGTATTTTTTTGTTTCTAAGTAATGGTGCCTGTAATATACCGTAGAACTATTTTGTTATGTAGCCATAGATGAACTACGTTCAACAATGAAGGTGAAGAAGAATCTTATCAATTGCAAACTTTCTTGAGACTGTTTGTTCGCCTTCATTATAAATGGTCTAGCAGTTGATGGTAAGTAATTAGTCTATCTGCAGTATAGGTTAATGTCTCCCTTAACGTGCATGAATGGTCCTTATATCTGAAACATGATCTTAATTGTGTTCTCCAGGAAGGGTCACCCCTGAAAGTGTCATGTATAGTTTTGGCACGGTCCTTTTGGACCTTCTAAGTGGAAAGCATATTCCTCCAAGTCATGTGAGTTGCTCTCTCTCCCTATCACTCCCAGCAAATTAAAGTAAGATGTTGCATTTTCCTCTTTGTCGGTCTATCTTATCAATAATTTACTTATCTGTGATGGTGAAATTGCCAACAAGATTGTGAAATGGCATATTTTGATTTGATCTTTCATCCCTCAGTTGTGGGTGGCTCTGTTGCTAATGCCTGCTAACATGCCACTAAAAATTAACATGAAACTAAAAGGAGGAACCTTGTTGCAAAATTAGATGTTTCTTGGACAATCTTAATGTGGAGCTACGATTGCACTACCTTTAAAGAATTATCTGTAATGGTGAGATTTTGTGTTGGGATGTAGGCACTTGACATGATACGGGGGAACAACATCATCCTTTTAATGGATTCACATCTGGAGGGTAAGTTCTCCACAGAAGAAGCAACAGTTGTTGTTGGTCTTGCCTCACAATGTTTGCAATATGAACCTCGGGAGAGGCCGAGTACAAAGGATCTTGTTGCTACACTTGCTCCATTACAAACCAAAACTGAGGTAATGATCTAATTGGACTTTGATCAATTAACCCTAGAACAAAGATCCTTACTCCTAATCCGTATTTGAGGGGATTAAGACTCAAGAGACTGGTTCCTAATCCTAACCCAGATTGACCAAGGCTAGTAACTCATTCATCTGAGTTTATGCGGAGTCTCTCTCTATCTCTTGGAACATGTGCCATCCAAATATGTATTGTTAAGACTTTAAATTGTCAGGAGGTTGTCCTGATAATTTCCTTGTTATAAAATTAGATAACTGATAACCAAGCATCGAGAATTAAGTTGTTACTTATGGAAGATCGAATAACTTTATTTCCTGGAAGATTGGTGTTTTAGAAGCTATAATTTCTAATTTTCAGAATTGACTTTCACTATTTATCGGGCCGCCTTTGTTTGCTTCAATTTGCAACATATTTATTATTTTGTACTCAACTTTTCTTTTACCTTTTCAATTTCTTGATTATCCATAAGCAATCTAACGACATCTTATTGATTTTGGTGAAGAATTTCGGGACATCGAATAGATAGAACTTGCAAGTTGATAATCATTTAGATCTTAAATGAAGATTGTGGGCCAATCCGACTCAATAAACTGTTTTTGAGCATGATTTCTTCATCCCCTTCTACTATTTGGAATATCTTTGTGATGTCAAATATCATGTTTGTCACTCCCACTTATTTACTCTGNCCCGTTAGGACCGCGGGCCCGGTCCGGTCCGGTTCAGGCCCGGCCCACCGAGCAGCATTACTCTGTTGACATCCCAAAGATAATTGAAATAGCAGAGGGTGACGGTGAATTCGTGCTCAAAACCAGTTTACTTCGGTGTATTAGCCCATAATCTTTATTTATGATCTTGATAATGATAGCACTTTCTCTTAATGCGTTGCAAGATCAAGTACTATTAATGTTGAAACATGAGCAATGAAAGCCTACGCCTGGAGTGTGGGAATGTGAAACACTGAATGTTGGACATAGTATATCACCATCCATGACATGTGAGAGGATAATGGCTACAGGAAGTCAGGAACATGTATTGGATTCTATCATGTCAGAAAGTAAATCATAGCCAAAACCAATTGCCAGTGGCTGTGTTAAATTATTTTTTATTATATATTGTGACCTTTTACTTCATTAATTTGAGTTTTTCTCCTTACAATTTTGATGTCATGCACTTAAATACTATAAGTGGGCTGTTTAAAACTTAATTCTTAAGTTTCAACGAGTTCACACCCCTTGCATGTAAGTGACATAACTTCGTCACAACAAACAAAGTGCTTGCAACAAGCAGTTTGCTGGTTATTTTCTTACTCTAATCCTGTAAAGTTGGCAAAGAAGATGGATGATAATCTGCCCGCTCATGGTTTAAATTTGTCTTTGCTTTCTCAACTGCTTGAAAATGTAATGCTGCATCACAGATACAATCGTCAGGTGCAATATGAGTGATATTGTGTTTCCAGCCTTTGTTGACTAGCTTTCCGTGAGACAGCCTATAAAATAATCTGTTTTGTATGGTTTAAATACAATTAAAGAATTCAAGTACTCGAACACTTTGCTTCAAGTACTCAGAACTCAAGAATCTATAGCTAGGGGGAGAGCTCAACTAATATTGGTGAGAGCGAATGTTTCAGGCAGTAATATTATGCTGCTGTTATCCTATTTCAGATTCCATCTTATGTCATGCTTGGAATTTCTAAACAAGAGGAAGCCCCACCAGCCCCCCTGCGCCCTCTTTCACCAATGGGGGAAGCATGTTCTCGAATGGATCTCACAGCAATCCATCAGATATTGGTTATGACACACTACCGAGATGACGAAGGAACCAATGAGGTAAAATTGACTGGCTCGATTGATTGCTTGGTTCGCTAATGTTAATCTCTCTTACTACTCTTACTAAAGGTCGGATCTGAACATTACTTGTACCAGTTATCTTTCCAAGAGTGGACTCAACAAATGAGAGATATGCTAGATGCAAGGAAGCGCGGGGACTATGCTTTTCGTGATAAAGAGTTCAAGACGGCAATAGATTGTTATTCTCAGGTATGGTTTTCTACTGTAATTACTATGATTAAACATGTAAGTCACCTAGCAAATGGTGCAATATAAATGATACAATATCTAGAAGACGGATATTAACGGCAATTTAAAATGCATCTGTGTGGTTGGAATCCATGCAAAATCCCAAGCAAAAAATAGAATTCAATGGAAGTAAAAAATCTATATAATGTGATACCAATTAGTCGGATTAAGTTTTAGTCATGTTAGTGTGTTTTCTTTAGGTTCAGTGTTTTCTAGAAGTCTTTTAGTCCCGTAAGAGATATATATTCCAATAGAATCTAGAGAACTTCTAGTAACTAGCGCTTTTTCATTTTAGTTTTTATATGGTTTTATAGTTTATTGAACTGAGATGAGCTTAAATGGAGTGACATGGCAGTGAGGAATCATGTATCCTACCCCAAGTTGCTTGGAATTGAGGCGTAATTTTTGTTGTTATTTGTTTGATTCATCACTATTAGCTTGAGGAATTATATTGATATACAGTGTTGGAAATTCTTAAGAGAATTTTTATATTATATGCAAAGTGCCAATCCTATGGAATGTATTACCTTTAATTTGGTGTAAAACATATGTTTATACCCTTATAATATTCTTGAATAATAATGAGGAAAAACACAGACGGGCCTAAAGAACAACCTCAAGTGGGCTAGGATCCAGATAGCAGGAGATGGTCGGTGCTGCCCTAGCTAGGTTGTTATTGAGAGAGATGGCATCAAGTTTTTTATTCCAATTTGGGTGGAGAGGAAAACCCGATTTGAACTGAGATCGTCGGAGCTGAAGGAGATTGCTGAAGAATCCAGAGGTCCGAAGATGTAAAAGGACCGATGGACAAAAACAACCTACGTGAAAGAGATGGGTCAACTCAGCCCTGCAGTTTCACGTGATAAAGGCAAAGAGCACATGGGATTCTCAAGTGAAGAGCTAGCTGTCACAATTTTACAAAATAAGGGGGAGGCTACTGAAAAGGAGATTAGGGTTTCAGAAGATTTAAACACAAGTTTGGGCCACTCTATTGGGCCCAATGCTTCAGATTCTGTAAACACAACTTATGGGCCAGATTTTGCAGCCCAAGTCATTTTTAATGACTTATACAATAAGCCAAATAAAGAAGGAATACTCGATCCTTTCTTTATAGACTTAAAAGTCACATCTGAACCGAAACAATAAAGATACACAATGAATCACTCTGATTCATTAACATCAGAGTCAGAAAAGGAAGAAACAGAAAATATAGCTACTTCAGATACTGATGGTGAAAAGGAAGACATGTAAGCAGAGAAAAACCTAAACTCCATGGCAATAATCAAGATCGGGGAATATTCTGGTAGCGATTACAGTGCAATTGAGAAGAACCAGGCCATGACCACTCACCAAGAAGGTCCAGATATTGATGAATGGGTAGTGGAGGATGCTGAACCCTTACAACAATAGAATCTTCTTCCTGATAATGAGATGGATGCAACACTTTGGGTTCATCAAAATTTGATAAAATTGGGGAAAATGTTTGGGGTTGATTTCCAGGGCCATGAAGAAGAAGCTCTTGAACTTCTCATGCAGATTGATAGTAGCAGAAAGGCAAAGAAGATGGAAGCAGAAGTTAATATCAAGAAGAGCAGTTTCAAGGGGTCACAAGAACTATAAGGGTTGGCCTCTTTTGATCTTAAATTCAAAAGCAACGGAAATAGGAGCGGGGGAAGGGCTTTATTCTTAATTGATCAATGAAGCTCAAATTAGTCACATGGAATGTGAGGGGATTAAATAAAATAGATAAGAGGAGGTTGGTGAAGAATTCTTTCATCGATTGGGGAGCAGACATTATATGTTTGCAAGAAACAAAGCTTGAAGGGGATGTAGAAGATATTGTTAATTATATTTGGGGAGGAAGATGGGAAAGCTATGCTTGTCTAGAAGCCAGTGGTACTAGAGGTGGAATCATGATGATATGGGATAGAAGGGTATGGAAAGGGGAGATTCTTCAAATTGGGTTATACACTTTGACTTGCAGATTTGAAGGCATGTTACAGAACTTTAAATGTCATATTACAGGGGTGTATGCCTCTAATTGTGACATCGAAAGAAAAGAGGTTTGGGGAGAAATTAGTGTTGTGAGGGGTCTGATGGAGGGTCCATGGGCAATTTGTGGGGATTTCAACATTGTTAGATTCCCTACTGAGAAAAGAAACTGCAGGAGAAGGTCCACAGCTATGGTGGAATTCTCAATCTTCATAGAGTGATCTTCAGCTAGAAGGAGACACTTATACTTGGTTCAAAGGGGACACTCACACCAATACATCAAGAATTGACAGAATCTTGATCTCTGAAGAGTGGGATGACTGTTTTAGCAACATCAAACAATTCGCTCTTCAGAGAGTGACATCTGATCATGTTCCTATTGTTTTACAATGTGGAAATTGGGACTAACCAAAGTCATATTTCAAATTTGACAATTGGTGGTTGAACTCAGATGGCTTTGTTGACAGAATCGGGAGTTGGTGGACATCATTTGATTTCGCAGGAAAACCTGATTATCTTCTAGCTTGTAAATTAAAGGCCTTGAAAGGTAAACTAAGGGAATGGAGCAAAAGCTGCCAAGGCAACTTGAAGGCCCAAAAATCAAACCTTCTTAAGCAACTGGCTGTACTGGACAGAGTACTAGAAGTCAGAAGCCTAACTGAGGGGGAAATGGTGGATAAGACATCACTACTGTTGAAGTATGAAGAACTTCTGAAGAATGAAGAAGTGGCATGGAGGCAAAGGTCCAGGGCCATTTGGCTCAAAGAAGGAGATAGAAATACAAAGTTCTTCCATAAGACTGCCAATGCTCACAAAAGATGCAACAACATTGACCACTTAATGGTCCAAGATGAATCAATCACAGATCCACAAAGAATCAAAAATGAGATAGTAAGTTTCTACAAATAACTCTACACTGAGACTGAAGAATGGAGACCTGCAACCAATTTTAGGAGTTGTCCAACAATAACTGAGCAAGATAAAAATTTACTACAAAGCAGATTCGATGAATAAGAAATTTTTAGGTGTTTGAAATTGTGTACTATGGACAAGGCACCAAGACCTGATGGCTTTACATTGGGATTCTTTATTAAATGTTGGGAGGTGCTTAAACAGGACATCATGGGGGTGTTTCACAATTTTCACTCCCATGGTTTATTTGAAAAGAGTTTCAATGCAACCTACATTGCCTTGATCCCCAAGAAGAATGGTGCAAAGGAATTGATGGACTTCAGGCCTATAAGCCTAATAGGGAGCATTTACAAGATTATTGCAAAAGTCCTGACTGAGAGGCTGAAAAAGGTGATGGGAAAATCGATAGATTCTCAACAAATGGCATTCATAAAAGAAAGGCAAATAATGGATGCCATACTAATAGCCAATGAAGCAATAAACTCAAGACAAAAACAGAAGAAGCCTGGTATCCTTTGCAAGCTAGATATTGAGAAAGCATTTGACCATGTGAATTGGAATTTCTTACTAAACATGCTACAACAAATGGGATTTGGAGTACAGGATTAAATGGATGAAATTCTGTATATCTACTGTCAAATTCTCAGTCATTATTAATGGTTCTCGAGAAGGATTCTTTCCTACTGAGAGAGGTCTCAGGCAGGGTGATCCCTTGTCACCTTTTCTTTTCATAATAGCCATGGAAGGTTTGAGCAACATGATCAAAAAAGCCAAACTCAATGGGTGGATTAAAGGCTTTGAGGTAGCCATGAATGGACATAACAACCAGGAGATTACACATCTTCAATATGCTGATGACACATTAATCTTCTGTGATGCAGAAGTGGAACAACTAAGAGTTTTGAGGATTATACTGGTTCTTCTTGAAGTAATTTCTGGGCTACACATTAATTGGAGAAAGAGTCATCTCTTCCCGATCAATGAAGTAACGAACATGGAGGATTTAGCACTGATCCCGGGGGAGAAGTGGGGACTATCCCTACCACTTATCTGGGTATGCCACTGGGGGCCAAGTCAAAATCTACTGCAATATGGAACAATGTACTGGAGAAATGTGAGAAAAAGTTGTCAAGATGAAAATGTCAATATTTGTCAATGGGAGGAAGGCTCACTCTGATTAACTCGGTATTAGATTCACTGCCAACCTATATGATGTCCCTTTTTCCCATTCCTGCGGGAGTCATTCAAAGGCTGGATAACATAAGAAGGAATTTTTTGTGGCAAGGCAAAAAGGAAAAAAAGGCCTATTACCTGGTCAAGTGGAAAGAGGTAACTCTCAGCAAAGCGCAATGTAGATTGGGAATTAGAAACTTGAAGAATCACAGCAAAGCCCTTAAACTAAAATGGCTATGGAGATACTCTCAAGACCCTAAAAGTTTATGGAGCAAGGTAATCAAAGCTAAATATGAAGTAGAAGACAATTGGATGACTAAACCAGTTAGCACAGCCTGTGGAGTTGGTCTTTGGAGATCCATAAGGGTATTATGGTCAGCTCTAAAAAAACAAGTCTCTATTAAAGTGCTAAATAGTAGCAGGAATCATTCTGGAATGACAATTGGCTGGGAAATGGAGCTCTGAAGGATTTATGCTCTGACATATATGCTCTAGCTCATCACCAACAGAGATCTATAGCTGAAATGTGGTCACCTCAAGGTTAGGAACTAATACTCAGAAGAGACTTGAATGATTGGGAGATAAATAGAATGATTGAGTTCTACAAACAACTAGACAACTTCACAGGAATTCAGAATGGAGATGACACATTGAGATGGCAGGGACATAGCAGTGGAAAATTCAGTGTCAATGCAGCCTACAAAACGATAAACCAACCAATATTTCAAGTCACCAACTGGCCCTGGAAACATATTTGGAAGACCAAGATACCATATAAGGTTGCATGTTTCTCATGGCTACTGGCAAAGGAAGTTGTGCTCACACATGAAAACTTAAACTAGAGTAAGTGGACTCTATGCTCAAGATGTTTTCTTTGTGAAAATGAAGTGGAAACAGTTGGTCACCTATTTTTGCACTGTCGGATAACTGATTAGTTATGGAAGATCTTCATTAATCTCAGAGGCATATCTTGGACAATGCCTAGAAAGATTACTGAAGCTCTCTTTAGTTGGGAAGCAGCTGGAGCTGGGGCATACAACAAAAACAGATGGAGAATGGTCCCTGCTAGTATTTGGTGGACAATTTGGAAAGAAAGGAACTCTAGATGTTTCGAGAACAACAACACATTGCAAGAGATCAAACTTAGCTGTATTAAGATTTTTTGTTTTTGGTGCAACAAGATCTACCTAGAGGATACTATTTCTATCTTAGACACATTAGGTTCATGTTAGACATGTAGACTGGTTTACTCTTTTTGCTCACTTGTATATATGGTTTCAGTACAACCCATGTATTGTTTTGTGTTTAATACATACAACCTAAGTTGCTTGGACTCGGGTGCGGGTGTCCGATACGGGTGCAGATCTAGAGGTCAGATCCTTCATGATCTAAATTTAAAGATTCGGGGGTACGGATCCAGGTACGGATACGGGTGCGGGGATTCGGCTAAAAATAATTCAATTATTTAAAAATAGAGTTATAAAAATATGTCTAAATTATGAGACATTATGTGAAAAACTTATAAGGTATTCCGAGAAGGAGAAAATATTGAACAAGAGTAGAATTATAGAAGGAGATAAAAGGAAAAGGACTGACATAGAAATTTATATATACAAGGTATTCCATTTTCTTCCATATCACCCTAACTTTTGATTTGTTTTCAAAAATCATTGTATCTATCTCAAATTTTTCCGTTGATTTTGGTCAAAGTACCCAAAATTGGTTGACCAGATCCGACACGGATCTCACACCCATACCCACACCCACGTCGTGTCGACACGGGTGCGGCACTGAAAGTGGAGAGACCGAATAACTTAGCATACAACATGTTACCTTCTCAAAAAAAAGAAAAGCACAAAAAATAAAACACTATACTCGCAAGTTTTTTTTTTTTGAGTAAGGTAACAACACTACACTTACAAGGTAAACTTTTATTCATCACTATTAGCTTGAGTAAATTATATTTATATACAGTGTTGGACGATTGTAAGAGAATCTCTATATTATATACAAAATGCCAATCCTATGAATGTATTACCTTTAATTTGGTGTCCAACATATGTTTATAATTCCTGAATTCTAATGAGGAAAAGCACAAAAAGTAAACACTATATTTACAAGTTTTACAAGGTGAACTTGCACATCTCTCTGCGGTGGCTAAGTTAATCATGTTTTACTTGTAAGTTCAGCTCAAAGTTGTGTTCCTTTAATAGCCAACTGGAATTTAGCTAGAGAAAAATCACAGGAACACACTATGAATTTGAAATATGCACTCTCATCAAGTGTGACATAAGATTTGGTTAATGATAAAATATTACCACCTTGGAATATTTTGATCCCTGGTTTTTAAAACAACTACTTGTGTTGTTAATTTCATTTTTTGCCAAAACAAAGTAAATCTCTTTGAGGTTAAACTATACAAATACCTAGGTTTCATAGTTTTGACTCTGCGATAAATTACTTGTATGAGATTTTCTCTTTTGTTGGTCTAAGTATACAAACTGCTTCTTTCTAAAAACGTGTTGGGTGTGCGAACAAAGTCCCGCATTAGTAGCTGAAAAGAAAAGGAAACATATAAGGTGTATATGTGAAGCCTTTTGGGGAAAACCGTGCAAGCTTGACTCTAAGCGGACAATATCACCGAATATTAAGAGTGTCTGTGGGCTGGCTTAGCCCAACAAACGTTTATGTGAAATTTCGGTATATGCTTTTTTATTTCAAATTAAAACATTTGACAGTTGATACATCTGTTGAGTTTAGGATTTTGATAAACAAGGTTCAGTATCTTTTTTTTTGTTCACGTGAATTTTCTTCAATGGTTTAAGCGGAGGCATCCCTTTTTTTTGGTTTAAGCGACCCTTGTGGTCCAGCCCTTCCCCGGACCCCGCGCATAGCGGGAGCTTAGTGCACCGGGCTGCCCTTTTTTTCTGGTTTAAGCGGAGGCATCCCGAAGCAAGATACTCTTGGAATTGATTGGAAATTAAAATATGAAATATACGTCCAAAAGTTACAAATTGTACATTGTTTAGTAGAGTGACATATACTGGACAAGGATTTGCTTATGAATCAACCTATACTATGATCTCTAGCTTCTGCCAATAGCTTTTATGTCATGGATAAGTTAAGGTGGATTTAGGATTTGAAGTTAGTGGGTGTAGAGTTCTACTACTGTAGCAGTCAGCTGGAATCTTTATCTAAGTTCAACTACTATAGCAGTCAGCTTGTATAGAGTTCTACTACTGTAGCAGTCAGCTTGTATAGAGTTCTACTACTGTAGCAGTCAGCTTGTATAGAGTTCTACTACTGTAGCAGTCAGCTGGAAACCCAAACTATTGAAGAACTGGAGCCTGTTGCAAGAGCACAGTGATATTGGGGTGATTATTAATGGGATCTTTATCTATGTTCAATATGTTATTGCTCTGTTGGAACCTAAGCAACTTATTATGCTGGGCTTAACTATTTTTTGACTAGATAAAAGTTGGCGTGAATGTGGATTTTCTTTCCTACCTTAAGTTATCATTAATTTCTCAGTTGATCTACCGAAAAAAAATGAAAAAATCGTTGATTTCTGAAAAAAAAAAAAATGAAAAAATCGTTGATTTCTGAAAAAAGCATCATATCAAACTCTGTACAGAATTCGGTTTCCGAGAGATATAGGGGAACTTACTGATTTTTCAATTGAACAACTGAGGTTTTGGTCGTTTGGAGCAAGTTGTAGCCGGGAGAGTAAAAAATATTAATATCAGTATTTAGTGTGAGATTATAAGAGGAAAGGACAACACAAGCTTACTGGTGCAAACTGATAGGAATGGCCAAATGGGGTGGGTTAGCTGGTCAGGGCTTGGGTTTGGCTGAAGCGACAGATTGTTGGCCAAACTACGAACAACATTTAAGGTAAGGCCGTGGGACCATGGGCCGCTGAATGGAAAAACGGAAAGTCAAACGATGCAAATGAGGAATTTCTATCGTGCTACTTTACTTTTCTTTCCTGGTTATTTCTTGCATGATCATCATTACTCACATTTTTTGTGTTTACAACATTCTAGATTCACATATTTTTGGTACCGTCGTGTATCTTTCTGTAGTAGTGGCTCACTTGAAGAAGCTGAGTGAAGGAAGTTAGAGAACTTGACTTTCTTAGCAAGATACCTTTTGCTTTGTTGTCACAGTTTGTAGATGTAGGGACCATGGTCTCCCCAACTGTCTATGCACGACGCAGTATCTGTTATCTCATGTGTGATCAACCTGATGCGGCCCTTCGTGATGCTATGCAAGCACAATGCGTTTATCCAGATTGGCCAATGGCTTTCTACATGCAGTCAGTTGCGCTTGCCAAACTGGACATGCACCAAGATGCTGCAGACATGTTAAATGAGGCTGCTGGACTTGAAGAGAAGAAGCAGAAAAGTTGGAAAGGATCGTAAAGGTATCCTGTTTCAGATAATAAAGTGATTGTCCAGAATTCATCTCCCCTGATTTGTAAAAATGTTGATAGAGATATAGCCATCTTCTTGTTTGCAAATGTATCCAGTTATTGGTAAGTTAATGATAGGTTCTTCTCCTTTTGGTCAAATATGATCAGCTTTAACCCGTAGATGATGTAAGAGAGGAAAAGTGCTCATTAGGCTGCACAGGTTTAGCTCTCCACCCCCCACATCTCCACTCTAAGATAAATAGATTTTGCCATACATATGTAATGTTGAAAACGTTTAATGGCTAATTGTTGCTTACTAACATTCAGAATAATTGTGAATTCCAGTGAGATTGAGGACAACGGGACACCTGATAGTTCTGGTAATTGAGGCCTTCAGCTTCTTATAAACTCCTTTCTCTAATGGTAACTGTTTATCCTACTATATGTGGAAGTAGGAACTGAAATCACGGCCTTCTGGGTCTCAAGTTAATATTGTTATGTATGTTCATGGAATACAGTAACATGTGGATTCTTTAAGAGAAAATTTGAAAGAAGTGTAACAGAGGACATATTATGGACCTGTAGTAGTTTGTAGATTCAGAAGGATGCACAACTGGTGGGCATCCACCAATCACATTTGTTCTGAATTTTCTATTGGATATGAGGGAGTTAATGGCTATTAATTCCTTTTTGGTGGTCTAAACAGAATTCACAATAGCCAAGATGATAAGGTGAAGGAAGTGAAAAAAGAAATTTAGCAGGAATGGTTGTGCCTGCACTGCATGATGTCATTAAAGTAGAGAAGTCACCATTTTTAAGATTCTTCCCTTACATTAAACTTCCAACTGCCTCGGAGCAATTTTATTACAATAACAAATAAAGACTAGCTAAAATTTACAAAGTTTTTAAAGTTTAACTGTCTTAGAATTAATTTCAGACAAGCACGTATGAAGTGGAAATCGCGTGTCTGAAGTGAAATTATTCCAGAAGTGTATGCTAATACAAGTGAGCATATACAACAATAACTATGCCTTAGTCCCAAACAAATTTTGGGTCGGCGATACAAGTTAAGCATATGATATCTATTGTAGGGCAAACAGTGAGATGCAAGGCTAGCAAGGTACCTCCATCAGTGAATTCGACATCAACCGAGATCTGAAGCTAAATGTGCAAGCAGAAGAAGACGTACGATAGTGGTCCAATAACAATACCTAATACTGACTCGAATTTAGCTTAAAGGATATATCCTCTTTCTTTCTACGATTGGTTTGTTTTGATATAAAAGACAGACAAAGACAAAGAAGTGATTGACTTTTTCGGGCTGCTACAAAGTTGATGAAGGTAACCTTACAGATACAAAGACGTGAATGACTTTTTAAAGGGCTTATCTAGATTTGACCAACGTAACCATATACTCCTTCGGTTCCATTTTGCGTAGTGACTTTAAGAGTATGAGAGTCAAACTATTTAACTTTTGTGGTAATTCGGCAAAGAATTTCCAAATTTTGAAATAATATTGACATAACACAAACGCAAAGTACTATGAGCCACAATTGTTAATAATCCAAAATATTTCAAAAATATCATGGTTAAAGAAGAATTTCTTTCTAAATTGTAAATGATGTTACATAAAGTAAAACAGTACTCCTATACCATATATTTACCAACCTATAAACCTCAGCTCTTCATCCACACTCTACCAGGAACATTTCAATAATCCCAGAATGTTACGTGGTCATAGATGATCGGCCAGAGGTTCAGCGAATTAGAGTCCACTTTTTTGTTTAATACTCCTATACAAAATGGATGTCAGGGACACTATATATTACTCCCTACATTCACTTTTACTTTGGCATGTATACTAAAAATAAATTTTCATTTTTACTTGTCACTTTACGCATATCAATATCAAGAGAATAAATTTTTTTTTCCTGTTATACCCACAGTATTTATTACTCATTTCAAATTATTTTCTCAAATCCAATAAAATATGCATCAATTAATATGGGTATCATGGTAAATTATGCACTTCATTTATTATTTCTTAAGGGGCGTGAAAAATCGTGCAATGTAAAAGTGAACTGGGAGAGTTCAAAAACTTAAGAGCCGCCTATTAATATTTGTAACTTGTCAACTTAAGCTGGTGAATAAAAAATTGGATAAGGCAGGCTATGAGATTATCCTTCTTTATTGAACAATATCTGGTCACAAGTCACAACTACTATACTAGACTTTATACGATGTCTCCATCAACCTACAGGGTAGATGTATATATATATCCCCCCACTCCTTTACTTGCTTGCCATCTCTTCTTCACCAATTTATTACGCTAGTTAAAAAGGTCAAAATGAGACTTTTGGAGTTCACAGCTCTTTCATCTCTACTAGTCTTGTTTCTGCTCCTGGCTGTCTCGGCAGAACAATGCGGTAAACAGGCGGGAGGTGCACGTTGTCCCTCGGGAATGTGCTGCAGCAACTTTGGATGGTGCGGAAACACTCAAGACTATTGTGGTCCGGGAAAGTGTCAAAGCCAGTGTCCTTCTGGCCCTGGACCTACCCCAAGACCACCCACCCCTACTCCTGGTCCTAGTACCGGGGACATCAGCAACATCATCAGCAGTTCCATGTTTGATCAGATGCTCAAGCATCGCAATGATAATACATGCCAAGGGAAGAGCTTTTATACGTATAATGCCTTTATCACTGCTGCAAGATCATTTCGTGGCTTTGGCACCACCGGTGACACCACCAGGCGAAAAAGGGAGGTTGCTGCTTTCTTTGCCCAAACCTCTCATGAAACTACTGGTAAGCCTGCCTGCTATGCTACCTTCATATTATAACCTTTAATTTCTCAAATGCCAAATATATATAGCAAACAAATCAGTTGAGATTGATTAATTGACAATGGACCCTTTTGGCAGGAGGATGGGATACAGCACCGGATGGGAGATACGCATGGGGTTACTGCTACCTTAGGGAACAAGGCAACCCTCCAAGCTACTGTGTTCAAAGTTCTCAGTGGCCATGTGCTCCTGGCCAGAAATATTACGGAAGAGGCCCCATCCAAATTTCATAGTGAGTTTTTATATTTCTGTTTATATTGACACATATCTTCTTGGCTCTTGCAATAGGGCTGTGCTCCTCCAAATTTTGACCGAAGCTCTCTTTCGAAAAAAACGCAAAAATAACTTTTGGTCACATGCATCATGAAACATTAAGTCTCATTTTTTTGATGTTTAATTCAGCAACTACAACTACGGGCCTTGTGGAAGAGCCATAGGGCAGAACCTCCTAAACAATCCTGATCTGGTGGCCACCAATGCTGTCGTCTCATTTAAGTCAGCAATTTGGTTTTGGATGACGGCTCAGTCACCGAAGCCATCTTGCCACGATGTGATCACGGGGCGATGGACACCATCGGCGGCTGACAGAGCAGCGAACCGCCTCCCAGGATATGGTGTCATAACAAACATCATCAATGGGGGATTGGAATGTGGGCATGGCTCTGACGCTAGGGTCCAAGATCGTATTGGTTTCTATAGGAGGTACTGTTCCATTCTTGGAGTAAGTCCTGGAGACAACATTGACTGCGGCAACCAGAAGTCTTTTAACTCTGGCCTCTTGCTTGAGACTATGTAATCGCCTCAGTTGTATTTACTTTCACCCACACCCACCCTGGTGTAATAATCTACTTATTAATTTGTGATATATAGGACCACGACTGTACCGTATACAATAAGCAAAGAGTTCGTCCACAATGTACAGTGGATTTTTTTTCTTTCTTTTTTTATATACTGGTTTGGGTACTAATTAATGAACATCATGTAAATGTTCGGCCTTGTGTGGGACATATGTGTGCCTTATGCTCTAGCCTCTAAGTCGCCCATGAGGCAGAAATTTTTTATGTGCAGAATGGTTAAAATTCATTTGAAATCGTTCATCTTAATTCCGCGTTCACATTATTCTTTTTAGCCTTCACATTATAGGTTTGAAAAAGATAGGTAACATTACCTTACTTGGCAGTCATTGAATTCGTGTAGAGTCAAGTCAGCAATGCAGTTTCTGAATGAATTGAGCATGGAGATAACTCTGTAATTCCGCTCCATATATATCTTTTGATTCCTTGCCAGCTGCCGCGTACAAAAAGAAATTTAGCTTATTGGATTAGCCACGTATTTTACGCTCTAGGGGTTATATAATTAGCAGGCCCTCATGGAGTGCTCTGTTTCAACCTAGAGGAAGAGGCCCTTGGCTTGTTCTCCAAACAAGGAACCAAATTTGACTGTAAAATGATCTTCTAGCTTTATATATAGAGCTCGAGACTAATTAATGGCACTTTCTTTTTGAAACTAATCTCACTTTTTTAGTCCAATTGTGGACCATTAATATTACAAGTATAAAACATCAATGCCAATTTGTCACTCTAACAAAATGAAATCAAACTACTACTCTTGCATGCAACTGGGATATATAGACACTTAAAAGATAGTTTAAATAGAAGTTGAGATATCTTTAATATGATTCAGTATTGTGCATGGTGAAGTCTTTGCAAATATGAAGATCTCTACATAAGCATAGGGACAACTGGGACAAGGAGAAATATCTGTGTTTTAAGATATCTGAACATTAGTTTATGTCTCGGAAAGCTATAATACATGGAGTATTAATTACGAGCAACTTATTAAAAAAAAAAAAACTGAAACTCCTATTATATCAATCTACATATATATATCTTCTTTGCACCTATGGACGCGAGAATTAATTTCTACTCACAGAGATTGTGAAAAAAAAAAACCTAAGGGAGTTTCCAGGTTCCATCATCACAGNCAGGTTCCATCATCACAAGGAGAACAACCCTCTTGAGCAATGTCAGTGATCTGAAGTCGTGTGTCATAGATCACCCCATTCCTCCAATTAGCCGGTAGTACTGCCTTAGCCCAATACCACTTGCCGTCAAACCCGGCTGTCACCACCAACCTAAATTGTAATGCTCCCTTCGGTACTCTGCTTGTGTCCCAAACTGCTCCCTCATTTCGGCTCATGAAACTCCAGTTAGATGATCCAACCTAAACGCACCACCAACATTAGTTAATTGGTACAAAAACCAATAGTTCTACTGAACTCGAAAAGAATTTGTGTATAATACTAGAGTAGTAGTTTACCTGAGCTACATCAATACCAACGATTTCAGTTTGACCCCCTTGATACAAGAAGGTGATTGATAGATAATTTGGCCTTTTGCTTGATTGTTCCACCCGAATAGCCAAATTCTTGTTTTTGAAATCACAAGGCACCCTGTCCCCACCAAAAATATTATTCCCGCAATATTAGCTTTAGCGTATAAGCATCCATCTGGAAATCTTATCCTATCAATTATTCTCTAATGCAATCGTGAATATGTGTACATATCATGACTTCAATATAATACACGTGCATAATGCTCTGGAGAGTGATGTTCACTTGTCTATCTAATCTAGTGGGGGCATGCTAACATAGTTTTGCTTTCTTAAAAGGTCCGTACTATTTTTAAAAAAAATAAAGATCTTTTGGCAGTTGTAACAAAACCACCTAAGCTAGCATCACTATCGATGTGTTAAGGACTTGGAACGCATTATTTGTGGTCCCTCCATTTGTCTTTTCTTAAGGAGCTCTTGAACAGTTTGGCCTAAACTCAAACAATTACGCAAGTGTAAGTGCACAATTTTGCACTCATGAGAAATTTGTACTCTCTCTAGCTTAACGCCACACGTTTCACTTCTCGAGACCATATAAAATTTGATTAAGGTTGGATATAAATTCCAAATTTATTTTGAAAAATTTGATTTGGGTGAAATTTGGTTTGAAAATAAAAATGTGCCTTTATTTTGGAAAAACTATGTATATAATTCCCAAATTTTGGAATTTTGGCCCAAAATCAGCAATTGGGGTGATTTTGGGATTTGAATTTGGGACTTTGTCAAAATGTGGGCAAAATTTATGGCTAAACATGAGTTTTGAAAATAAATCCCAAATTTATTCTGGCAAAACTCATGGTCAAACGAGTCCTAACATTTTGAAATGTATTTTTTATTGTATTGACATGACAAATTATAATACTTTCATATTTTTTTTAATATTTATATTTATATATTAAAATATTAAATTGATCTAATTCAAATTAACCTCAAGATTGGTCGAATTAATTCTCAAAAAGCAAAAAATGTTGCATAAATTGAGATTGAAAGAGTACATAGTAGTAGACTAGTAGTGCACAGAGTAAGTGAAGGTAACCTACGGACCTTTTGTACTCAACATCGACGATACCGAGTTTGAGAAGGTCTTGAGCTTTGCCTTGATTAGCCATGGCGCTGAAAGCTCTGCTACTGACTACAAAATCTGTTTGGTTGTTGGTATTCTGATCAGTTACAGTCACACTTGTGCCTTCTTTTGAACAAAGTTTTGAATTCTTGCATCTTATCTGCAATTCAATTAGGTTCCATAAAATCATCTGGAAAAATATTGAATATATTTACAGTAACTAAAATTTCCACTTTTTTTTTCTTTTGGTGAAGTAAATCGAATTGCATATGCGCTATGGGACGAAAATGGTAAGTAAATTAAAACCTGAAAACAAGCACCACAACGAGCTCCCTCTTTGTAGAGACTAGGAACTGCTGCTGCAAGGCGACCCCCATTAAAGCCTACAGCTGAGGAGCCATAACCACAAGCACCAGCTGTAAAAATGAAATCATACACAAATTAAAGAGTGATTAACAAGTGGAAAGAGTAATAGTATTATGTCTGAGAAGATGCTCAATAAGTTTAAAAACAAGGTTTCTTTTTAGTTTCAACAGAAAACAGAGGAATATATAGTTACATCAAGATTATAAAAATAAAGAAACGAGCTAGAGGGAAATGAGTAGGGTTAGAAAATATAAAAAAGCTTACACTGAAGGGCAGAAGCCTTGGAAAAGTAAGCAACCTTTGATTGGTGGACACAGCGATCGCAAGCTGTTGCAGAGGAGATCATAAGAAGAAAGAATAAGCAGGAAACTATGGGGAGAGCCATATTTCTTTGGTCAAGAAAATGTAGAGAGAGGATATACTGACTAACTGATTGACTAAATGGGGAGTGGCGAGGTCTATATATATATAAATACTCTGATAGAACTGATTGAAATAGTAATAGTAGCCTCTTAACGCGATGTCGCGTTTGTTTTGTAAATTTGTTGCCATGTATAGAGCAAAAAGGAGGAACAGTAAATAAATCCAAACAGGAGATAAGGAAAAAAGTGTAAGATAGTTTGTTATTGGCAAGTTAGAAGTGGGATTCTTCCCACATCGGAAGAAAGAAGTTCCGTGCCTGTTATGTGAAACACCTTCGAGACCGACCTTACTCGTATCGTGTCTGTTAGCCTCGGAACTGATCATTATGAAATAGCACTCAACAGACACGAGATTGACTCAACAGGCATGAGATCCTAAAGTTAATTATTTTTAACAGAAAAATCAAATTTATTTGAATTTTAAATTCAAAGTTCGAATAAATAGTCGTGTCTGTTTGTGAAACAAGACATCTTTTCTGAAAGGGTCTGTTGGTTGCCTATAAATACACAAGAATTCCAACGAAGTGACATAGAAAATCACAAGTGTTATTGCAGGCTTTGTTGTATCCTGAAGAGAATCGTTTTGTATTTTCCCTAAATTAGTATACAGACGATAACTCTTTAAGGACAGTCGATTTTCACGCCTCAAAGCCAATTTTGTTTATTATTTTCTAACAATCTTAAAGAGTTATTCTGCTATGGAGAAATTGATGTCTGTTGTTGAGAATCCGAAGGAGTTCATCAAACTTGATCGCTTTGATGGAACGAACTTTACCCGTTGGAGAGACAAGATGATATTCTTGTTGTCCGCTCTCAATATCTACTATGTTCTTGATTCTGCCTTGCCTCCGATGCCTGAGCCCACAGCAGAAGATTCTGACGTAGTCAAGGAAGAAAGGAAGAAACGAGAACATGATGAACTGTTGTGTCGCGGCCATATTCTGAATACTTTGACAGATCGACTCTATGATCTTTATTGCAATCTGAAGTCACCAAGAGAGATTTGGATTGCTCTACAAACTGCATACCAGAATGAAAAACGAGGTATTGACAAATTCCTGGCTCTATAGTACTTTGAATTTAAAATATTTGATACCAGGCCTATAATGGATCAGATTCATGAACTGCAAATCTTAGTATCAAAACTAAGTGATCTTGAAGTTAAAATTCCTGATGCACTTCAAATAGGTGCTATTCTTTCGAAATTGCCTTCCTCTTGGAATGACTATAGAAAGAAAATCCTACATTCTATGGATAAAATGACTGTGGAACAATTTCGTACTCACATTCAAATTGAAAGTGAGACTCGTGCTCGTGATGCTATTAGTCAGCCTTCGAGTTCCGCAGTCAATTTTGTCAGTCAGAATGATTCAGGAAGTGGGAACAAACATCTGAAAGTTTCCAAAAAGTCTTCTTTTAAAAAGAGAAAGAACTTTAGTTGTCATCATTGTGGAAAGAAAGGCCATATGATTCGGGACTGCAGATATAGAAAGGCAGGAATAAATTTCAATGCAGGCAATACCGAAAAGTCT